CCCCCTCCCTCCTTTTTTGTACTCCGTGTTTCTTTTTCCAGCCGATGCTGTTTTCTTTTTTGGAATGTGGCCTACCTTCCCTTCTACGCTATGTTCTGTGAGTTACCTTACTAGAATGGCTGTGAGAGAATAATGTTTCTGGCGATAGTTTGTTTAGTTCCTGTTGTTTCCCTTTTCAGTAACAAAGGAAGTTGTTGCTATGGGAACTGGAACAAAATGTATTGGCCAAAACAAAATGAGAAAAAACGGTAAGTATGGTGTAAAATCCAAGAACAGACTACCTACTACTTTCTTTCTTGCTGGTGGCATAGAATCAATGAAAGTGTCCAAAGCCTTGAGCTCAGGGTTTTGGATTGAAGCCAGAAGTGTAAGGCAGACCTCATCTTCTCAAGAAGAGAGAGGCTTAGGCAGCCAGAATGTCTGCCCTGAAAGTTTGCTGCAGTTGCTGCCTTAAGGGTGAATAAACCTTTTCTATGTAGAAATGTGTAGTTTAGGCCCTGAGTATACATAACCAAAAACTTCATCACTGCAAGCAAAACAAAATATAAGCGAAATAATTGGGCTTGTCACCTGTTAGTCTAGTTTTGTTGTGGTCTGATACAAAAGATACCTTTCTGGTCTTACCCTTACTCTAACTCAGCAGTGGTACTAACAGGCGTTTTCTCCCCTACGGTAGATTCTATGGCTAGATATTAAGTGTTTGTGCAATAAATGTATGGGATAGATACATGACTTCCCACAGCTACCATTTCTTACCATGTATTGTAGGACTTTGCTTGCACTGCATGTCCTTTTTTTTTTTTTTAATTCAGATTGTATCTGTCCTCTTTCCTAGGAGAGGGGAGAAGCCACAGTAATTAATGCTGAAAAGTGACTAAGGAGGAAAATTGTGAATATGTAGGTATAGGGCTTTCTACCTTCTTTAAACTTCAGAGGATGAGTAGAGCAAGATAGGAGAAACAGTTTTGCATGCATCAGTTTTAGGCTGTTTCATGTTCTGTGTAAGGCCCTTCATACTGAAATGAGTTAGTGGAGCAAAAGAGCAGAAACTATATATTTTAGGGTTTGTTTGATGTTTCTTGTGACTTAGCCATCTTAGAAAAGTATTAGTACAGACATTTTTCTCATTGATTTAGGAAAATTGTGATTAAACTGTTGTACTACTTACAATCTAGATATTAAGAGTCAAAGTAGAAATTTGACTGGAAAATGGTAGAGCTAGTTACTCTCTCTGTTGTTTGTCTTCAGTGATCTCAAGTTTAGAAAATATTTTCCTCTTAGGATAACATTCGTTTATTTTTAAATTAACTTGGTAAGTCGTGTTAATGGTTATCTTTTAGAGCACCTTTTGAACTTTTAGAACTGTTAAAGAGGACTTTTATCACCTGGCCTTTTATTCCTGAAATAAAAGCTAATCTACAGAACCTATTCTTTTTGATACCGCAATAGGCAGATGCTGCAGGACGTTTGAAGATGAGATGTGTAAACCTGGTAAATATCAGAGTTATTTACAAGAAAAGCGATTTAAATTATAAGACATAGTGCAATAAGACACTTGGACCAAAAGTTTAACGAACAGTTGAAATTTTCTGGACGTTATGCTTAATCTGAGAATATCAAGGCTTACTGTTAAGAACAGACATCAGGAAGGTTTTGAAGGAAGCCAGTGTTTATTCAACTCAAAGGATTTCAGATGTCAGGAGAGTTAAAATTTGGTGTTTAAACAAGTCTGACTTGCTGCAGAGTGAAGAATTCTGTCCTTTATTTGTGTAGGCTATTGACCTCCTTTTGTAGTGACTGGAAGTTAAAATATCTTGGAATAACCTAATACCAATGCTAAACCTGCAAATGCTAACAAATCTGGAGAACTGTCATCTGTCAAATTCTGTTTGCTTTGTTTGACTCCTTTTCAGTAATGATTCGTATTGTTCTCATTTGGTTGTTGCTCTAGGAGATATTCTGAATGACAGTCATGCTGAAATTGTGGCCAAGAGGAGCTTCCAGAGGTGAGGCATGAAGTTCACATGCTGTTATTCAGTGCCGCTTGAGGTTGGTGGTTGTGATACAAATGGTTTTGACCTGTAGCTGAAATAGCCAGATTTTGCAGCTTCAAAGATGAGAATGTAATGAAAGAGATGGTATTACTTCTGTGTAGGCATCACTTTTTTCCCTGTGTTAGCAGGAGTTTAATCTAGTCTTTGTATTTCTAGGCGGCGTTAAGGCCATTTCACAAAATCTTGTTTCTTCCTCATTCCTGTAGAGCCTCTGTATGAAGAAGTAGGATCTGATTTCATGTGGCATCAATGCTGGTCTGATGACTAGCTGTTAAGGGTAGCCTTTTTTGCTGTTTCCCATATACCAGTCCTCTTGTTCACATGGGATAAGCTGATTCAAGGGACTGAGCCAGGAGAATAGTAATGCTAAAGAAAAGAGTATATTTCTTGCAGTTTGATGCTACTAAATGGGCTCTCACGGAATCGGATGAGTTGCAGTGCTGGTAAAAATACAGAGTGGGAGGAGGAGAGGATGTTACGTACGTGGTTTGGGGAGTTAACTAACTCCACAGAATCCAACCCTTTGAGGTCAGTTACTAAGGTTCCAATAATGTGTTTATTTTTATGGAGTATGTTGGATCTGTCTGTAGAAGCAGAACTGGTTGGCTCCTCATAGACATCAGGAAAGAACAGGCACTAGTGAGCATCTAATTTTTGTTGTTTTCCCATGCATCAAAACTGAAGTAAATGTTTCATGAAAACTTTCTGCCCAACAGATATCTTCTCCATCAGATGTGGCTGGCAGCTTCCCATCAGCAATGCAGTATCTTTATTCCGGGATCTGAAACTGGGAAGTGGAAACTCAGACCAAATACTGTATTTGTTTTCTTCTCCAGTCACACCCCATGTGAGTATGCTGGAGTGAAGCAATTTCGTGACTCCCACTTGTAGAATCTTTTCTGCCCCTTGCCTTTCTTTGGTCTCTCTTTGGTCTGGAGTGAGAGTGAGGCAGTAACTCATGTTATCAGTATGTGCCCTAAGATTTGGTATTTTGTCTCACTGGATGTGATTCATGAGAACTCAGTAAGTCTGATACACTGCTCATTATATAGTGGAATGCTTCTGTTTCTCTTTAAACAATAATGGTTGATTTATTTTTTTCCCCAGAAATTAACATACTTATCAGAGGTGCTGTCTTATCTCCTGGTTCCTTTGCTTTAAATGTTGTCTCCTTGGATTCAAATTTTAGTAAAAAACATTGACGTTTATCACAGTTCCCCAGAAATCCCAAAACAAAACCAAATAAACCAAATGAAAAAAAACCCACACACAACAAAACCAACAAACCCCCAAAAGAAACAAACAAACAAGAACCAAACAAAAAACCAACTACGCAAGGCCCCAGAAACACCAAACCACACAAAAAAAACCCAACCAACCAGACAAATAAAACCCAAATCAACAGAACAGGGAAAAAAAAACCCTCTGAATGGAACCAAACAAACCACCAAAACCAAACTCCAAAAAAAACACCTACAACATACCACCACCCCCAGCCCAAAACTTCTTATGGAATGGAATGCAGCTTTTTGTTTTGTCATGGAAAACATTCTTGGTGTGTTTTAAAAATACAGCACCACAACCATGAGGATCTATTGGCAAAATGTAGGAATGTGACCTCTTGGTCTACCGCTTTATCAGATGTCTCAATGTGACTGTGCTTCTACCAGTGTGTTCTTCAACTTCTGGTCTGTTACCAGGGCAAAGAAGTCTAAGCACTCTCAAAATATGTCTCATCAGTATTTTGCTTAGGGAATTAGTTGCTTATACGTTTTCATTATTTTAATGGCATTGCTGGAATATACTATGATGGTTTTCTGTGTTAATGCAATATGAGAATAGAATCTTGTATCTTCAAGTTTAATAAGAAGAATAATTTCCTGACGACTGCCTTTTTCTCATATCCCTGTCAGGCTTTGTTTGTTTTGAACTGGGCTTCAGAATTTTGATTTTGAGCCTGTTTTAGTGATACAGATTAAAATTTCTATCCTGATTTTATAAGTTATTCATTAATTAGTCTTTTGAAGTTTGTATTGTTTAATTAGATCAGACTAGTTTTCCTGTGAGTTGTCAGCACTGCTTATAGTCTGTCAAATGTCTTTGACACCTTTTGCTTTATAATTTTTGCTTTAAATTTTACTTTTTTGATTACTTCTTAGGTAGAATGCAAAACTTGAAATTAAACATACATTGGCTCAAATTTCAGCAAAGTCCAATTCTTCATTGTGCAGAGCAGTGTTGTCCGAAAAGTGTGTTCTCATAGTTAAATTTTCCTGAGTGCAAATCTGTGAAAGCTAGTAGTAGCCGTAATATTACTGGTGTGATGTGTTCTAGTCATGAGACATGCGGTTTTGGCCCATTTTGATATTACTTCTTTTGTTCTAGGTGGAGATGCTTCTATTATTCCAATTAGTGAACCAGAGAACCAGCTTTCTAAGCCAGTGACTGGAGATGATACAGTTGGGCAATCAGCAGAGTGTAGAAGTAACCATGATCATTTGGGTCCAGAAGGTAAAAGGAAATCAGAGGAAATGGCAAGTGATCATGTACTCAAGAGAATGAAAACTGACGATGGTGGTTGCTTTTCCGTAATGACTGAAGATACTGTTCAGCAAGTATCTGTGAAACCAGAAGGCGACACAAATCCAAAGAGCTGTGGATGTTCTGCAGAGATGCAAACAGCTAATAAGGAGACTGGCTTAGGGAGACCGAAAATAGTAGATGTTTATAGAACTGGAGCAAAATGTGTACCTGGAGAGCTGGGTGATGCCCGAACACCTGGCCTAGGGTACCACCGTGTGGGATTATTACGAGTGAAGCCAGGTCGTGGGGATGCAACACGCTCTATGTCCTGCAGTGATAAACTGGCTCGTTGGAATGTGTTAGGGTGTCAAGGAGCTCTTTTGATGCATTTCCTGCAGTATCCAGTGTATCTGTCAGCAATTATAGTGGGGAAGTGTCCATATAGCCAAGAAGCTATGCGGAGAGCAATTATTGAAAGGTAAGTGCTCTCCTTTGGAAATCAGATAGCGTGTATGGAGACAGTGAATTATGGAAGACGATGTGTCATGCAGGTATCAGGACCTTGCACTGAAGTCATTTGCAGAAAATAAGAATTTCTGCAAATTCACCTTTTCAGAAAGTAGTCCTCTGTAGTATGGAGAAAAGGTGACTACTGCTGATGGATCAGACTTGAAGGTTCACAAAAGAATTTCCATTAGATTCAGGATCCCCTTGGTTTTCCCTTCACGGAGCAGTGAAAGGCCGTTACCCACCTGAGTATTTCTAGAAGCCTACTAGCAGAAAAAGCAGCCAGAAGGGCACAAACATAGTGTAGTGAAGACTTTTGGTGTAGTGAAGTTAAACTTTTCCTGCCTTCTTACTGATTCTATTTCCTTAATCAGGGTCAAGAAAAGTTTTAATTTTTTCAGTTTTCCATTCTCCACAAAGTCATTCTGAATATCTGTAAGTTCCCTTTTATAGAATTGTGTTGGTAAGCAAAAGCAGCTTTTATTTCTTGCAGGACCATTCCTAAAATTAAATTAAAAAGCCTCCAAATCCATCCATCTTAAAGGCAATCCAACTGAAGTGACTCCAAGTGAGTGCATAGGTAGACTTTTGCACTGTGGAAAGGATGTCTTTCTGATTGTCCTTACAGACAATAACTTCGCTCTTCATTCGCTGATTTTAGACCCTGCTTTCAGACTTACATTCTAGCACGTAAAGGATGCAGTGTTTTAAATTTGCTTTGAAGGGAATTACAGTAAAAACAGTTTACTCTTTGCTGTCTTCCTAAGCTTGGGCCCAAACTTTAAATTTTCTAGAAGGTTAATATTTGGGTTATTGCATATGCATAGAAGTCCATCCCATGTAAAATTTCAAAATTGTATTGTCAGTCTGTTCTCAGTAGAGGTTTTTGAAAACTGCTATTCTAAAGTTTTTACTGTATCATGTGTCTTCAGGTGTGCTGTGCAGCCCATGGAAACTGAGTTCTATACCTAAAGCAGAAATTGCTGTGGAGTGGTGTAGTACATTTTGGTTTGGAAAGATGAATGCTACTTGGCAGTCAGATTGGAAAGTCACGATATCATGTCAACAATTTTTTCTGTTAGTTTTAATTGTCAGTTTATTGCTTTTTGAGCAAAACTTCATGCTTCTGGGATGCTTCACGCTTGCGTGCAAGCTAATTATCTCTCATTGATCTATTCCACCACTTATATTCACACTGATGTGGATGTGCAGTGCAAGCCTACCTTTTGTAGTCTTCATGCATTCTGAGGGATGCACTTCAGAATTCTACCATGAGACTCTGAGCCTTCAGCTCCTGTAAAGGATGAGGTTTTTGGCTCTGCAACTCTGGCTTTGGCATACTTGTTTCTCATTCTCCTGTCCTGCAATATAAAAAGAAGTGGAATTTTTGAACCTCATCCACCTTTAGGAATGATTGAAATGACAGGTAGAGGAGAGGAGAGATACTCTGCTGGATCTCAAACTTGCCAGCTCCTTGGGGATACGAAGGTTGAAGGAGGCCTTAGTTGCAGTGACCATGAGATGGTGGAGTTCAGGATTCTGAGGGGAGAGAGGAGAGTAAAAAGCAAACTCGGAACCATGGACTTCAGGAGGGCATACTTCAACCTTTTCAAAGATCTGCTTGGAAGAATCATACGGGATAAGGCCCTGGAGGCAAGATGGGCCCTTAGAAAGTGGTTAATATTCAAGGATCACCTTCTCCAAGCTCAAGAGTGGTCCATCGTGATGAATAGGAAGTCAGGCAAAAATGTCGGGAGGCCTGCATGGATGAACAAGGAGCTCCTGATCAAACTAAAACATGAAAAGGAAGCATATTGAGGGTGGAAGCAAGGGTGGGTAACCTAAGAGGAGTATAGAGACAGTGTCTCTGTGCAGGGATGAGGTTGAAAAAGCTAAAGCCCATCAAATGTTGTTCTGGAGCCCCCAACATAAGAAGGACATGGACCAGTTGGAGAGGGTCCAGAGGAGGGCCATGAAGATGATAAGAGGGCTGGAGCACCTTTCCTATGAGGACAGGCTGAAAGAGTTGGGGCTGTTCAGCCTGGAGAAGAGGAGGCTCCGGGGTGACCTTATAGCGGTCTTCCAGTACCTCAAGGGAGCCTACAAGAAAGATGGGGAGAGGCTGTTCAGGAGGGCCTGTTGTGATAGGACAAGGGGTAATGGTTTTAAAATAGAGGGAGGTGGATTCAGATTGGATATTAGGAAAAAATTTTTTACCATGAGAGTTGTAGAACACTGGAACAGGTTGCCCAGAGAGGTGGTGGAAGCTCCATCCCTGGAGACGTTCCAGGCCAGGTTGGACGAGGCCCTGAGCAACCTGATCTAGTTGGAGATATCCCTGTTCCTTGCAGGGGGGTTGGACTAGATGACCTTTGAAGGTCCCTTCCAGCCCTAACCATTCTATGATTCTATGAAATTGAGTCTGGGAAGGGCTGTTGAAGACCAGAAGGGCTTCTCTAAGTACACAGGTGACAAAACAAAGGCTTGTGAAAATGTGGGCTCCCTGCTGAGTGAGAATGGAGGCCCTGGTCACACAGGAGGTGGAAAAGGCTGTGGTACTGAAAGCTTTCTTTGCCTCAGTGTTTACTAGCAAGACTAGCCTTCAGGAATACCAGGTCCTAGAGACCAGGGGGAAAGTCTGGAGCAAGGAGAACATACCCTTGGTGGAGGAGGATCAGGTCAGAGAATATTTAAGAACACTGGGCATGCTTAAGTCCCTGGGTCCTGATGGAGCACACCCAGGAGAGCCAAGGGAACTGGTAGATGTCATTGTGAGGCTGTTGCTCATCAGCCTGGGCTGCGGCTCCAGGGATGTTGTTGCATCTTCCGCAGCCAGGAGGAAATGGCCCGCCTTTTGTAGGCAGGGCCTAAACCTTAATTAGATAATTACAAGCCAGCTGGGTGATAGCCGTATGAGGCCACTCTTGTTAATCTTTGATCAGTCTTGGTGCTTGGGAGAAGTTGCCAAAGATTGGAGGAAAGCAAATGTCATTCCATTCTTCGGGAATGTCAGGGAGAATCCAGGGAACTACAGGTTGGTCAGCCTCACTTCAATCCCTGGGAAGGAGATGGAGGCAATATTTCCAGGCACATGAAAGACAAGAAAATAATCAGAAGTAGTCAGCGTGGATTCATCAAGGGTGAATGCTGACCAACTTGAAGAACTTCTGCGATGAAGTGACTGGCCTGGTAGACGAGGGGAGAGCAGTGGATATTGTCTACCTAGACTTCAGTAAGGCTTTTGACACTGCCTCTTGTAAGATCCTCGTAGAGAATCTGTTGCGAGCTGGATGAGCAGTGAGGTGGATTAAAAACTAGCTGAATGGCTGAGCCTGGGGGTGGTGATCACTGGACAAAGGGTAATTGGAGATGTAAGTAGCCATGTACCCCAGGGTCAATACTAGGTCCAGTCTTGTTTAACGTCTTCATTAATGGTCTGTATGATGGCATGGAGTGTACCCCCAGCAAGTTTGCTGATGACTCAAAACTGTGAGGAGTGGCTGATATGCAAGGGGATTGTGCTGCCATGCAGAGGAACCTTGACGAGCTGGAGAAAGGTAGGAACCTCATGAAGTTTAACAAGGGGAAGTGCAAGGTCCTGCACCTGGGAAGGAGCAGCCCCATGCACCAATATATGCTGGGGGCTGTCCTGCTGGAGAGTGGCTTTGCAGAAAAGGACGGGGGGGTCCTGCTAGACCCCAAGTTGAAAATGAGCCAGCACTGTGCCCTGGCAGCAAAGAAGGCTAATGGTTTCCTGGGCTGCATTAGGCAAAGTTTTGCCCGCAGGTCTAAGAAGGTGCTCTTTCCCCTCTACGGAGCACTGGCAGAGGCTGCCCAGAAAGGTCATGGAGTCTCCCAGCTTGGAGATACTCAAAAGTCATCTGAACATGGTCCTGGGTGTCTGGCTATAGGTGGCCCTGCTTGAGCCAGGGAGGGGTTGGACCAGATGACCTCCTGAGGTCCCTCCCAGCTCAGCCATTCTGTGGTTTACTGAAGTGGTTCAGGACACCCAGTATGTGACAGCTTGTACTAGCCAGCTCGGAAAAGACTTTTAAGAGTTGTGTTAGACTGGCAAGGCAAAATTTATGTGCGTTTCCATGGTGGTAAAAATTTATCTGCTTCTTTGATGTGAATTTCATTTTTCTCCCTGCTGTGAGTAGTAGAGCTCTGATAACACAACCTGTTTCCTCAGGTACATTTAAGTGAGAGGCGAAGTGCACTGCTCTAAATGAGCAAAGTCATCTGTTGCACGCTGGCTTTCTTGCTCCTCGCATCCTTGAGTTGGTGAAAACTATCCCAGCAACAAGAGGATAGGAAGTGGGTACTTTCTTGCTTAGGAAGTTAAATCTGTGCAACAAAGGACTGCAAGCATTAGAAAAGAGTAAGTGGAACTGGGCAGAGTGGAGGGAAAGGGTAGCAAGAAAGAAACGGAGGAGCTGAACCACTCCCTTTAAGATGCAGTTACCAGATCAGTTCATCTGAAGGGTTCAGCTTTTTTTAGTACCTCCATTTCTCCATAGCCTTGCATCCTCTTAGGATGGTTATAAAAGAGGTCATAGTATGTTATTAGGGGAAACTTTAGCTCCTGTGCAGTGGAGTTTACTCATTGTGTAACACGTGGGATAAGAATTTGCCCAGCCTCATTAGTCTTAGATTGCAAAGTCAGGCACTTTTTTAGACTATTACATCTGACAACATGAACCTCAGTCTTAATTTATTCCTGCTCTATGTAAATATTATCATGATTAAACACAGGCCATTTTTTCCTCCTCATACAAGCCTAATCCCATTCGGCATGTAACAATAATTTAAGGTAATAAAGATGTGATTATACATGGAACTGTAAGTATGGTTTATATCTTTCAAGTCTTTGATTATGAACCTTCAGGTTCATAAAACAGTTGTTAATGTAATACGGTTTACTAATACTTTATTATTTTTCATTGATTGCAGAAGTGTATTGCAGCTTTTATCTTGCATACTTTATCTCCTTTGATTATACTAGCTTTTAAATAGACCTTTCTTAAAATAAATTCATCTTCGTTTTTCTAGGATGGACAAGGTCTTAATAAGCTATGTGGCTTTGTTTTTTTTTTTTAACAAATACTTTTTGAAGGGAAAAATGCCCCTAAACCTCCTTGTCTTGCTTCTATAACTCATACTCAATTCAGTTTTAATTTAAAAGTAACATCTTTTAGATGATGAAGGGAAATTGCATAAAATTGACTTGTTTGGGAAGACCAGACTTAAAATCACTTGCATTTTTCTGTTTCTACTTTAGGTGTCAGCATATCTCATTTTTACCAGATGGTTTTCTCCCTCAGGAGGTTGAACTACTGCAATCAGATCTCCAATTTGAACATAGCCGTCAGGCAATTCAGGAAGTTCAAACCAACAGCAAAACAAAACTTGTTCCTTGTAGTGCAGGTGAGTTAACTTGAGCCAGTTACATAACTATGTGCAAAAGTGCAAATAGAAATGAGGTGGTTTTGATGGTTTCCTAAAATGAAACATCATTCATTGCCAGTGCTAGAGGCAAAGTGTGATTTGTAACAAGAATTTAATTTCAGGCCAGAACTTAAAAATATTCAGCTCAGCCTCTGCTTCTGTAGGGAGTTTTCAGGCTTGAATAAACACTTAGTTGGTGCTATTAAGAATTTATAATCTAAACAAAGACAGAAAATAACCAGTGAAAGCAAAAGTTCTGAGGGCAGTAGGAAGACAAAAATATCAAAAGACTTATTGTTTCAGTTAGTTTTGCATTCTCCTTGGTAATGAACAGAAGACTTGCCGTGCTGAGTTATGCTTGTAATTGCTTCAGAAATCTGTGAACGTAGAAAGAATACAGAGTAGTATAGTGTAAAGGTTTTAATTGATAGAGGTTTTGGACATTGCATTTTTTTGTCATGGCGATGAATGAATATACTCTCATTTGGGGAAAAAAAACAATGGAACTGCCACTGTATGTGTATGGTTAAGCAGTTTCTTTAAACTTGGACATGCCTGCCTTCTGCTGTTGCATACTTTTGTGGCTTAAATGGAACTGGAAGTTATTCTATGACAATAGAGCTGACGATAGAATGGAAGCAAAGGGTTCCTCAATGGAATTCAGATTCATTAAATTGGAGTTATTTACAGGTGCCAGGGAGGAAAAGATTTTGATTCTGTGAAATAGGAAACAAAATCTGTCATTGAAAAATGGTGCCAATTCACTTAGCAGAAAAGATCTGAAGCCAACTGTGTCTAAATTCCTGAGTATGCCTTTCTTTCTGTACAGTTACTGAGGTAATTCTGTTAAATAAAGACGAATGATACTTTATCACACTTTTTGCATATATGAATTATGCTAGGTTGATTTTTTTTTTTTTTTCTTGAAAGGATGAAAATTAGAATAAACTCGTTCAGGGCTGTTACACCAAGTACTGAAATATGCTTGATAGGAATATTTCAGCTGGTGTTTTTAGAAAGAAAAATGGATTCCGTTTAATATTTTGAAATTTGTGTTAACTATGAAGAAACGAAAAAATAGAAAGTGTTTTCATTTTTAAGTAAATTTTTATTTGCCTGTCAGACTTTGCTGTCATCTGACTGGGTGGTTTTAGATAATCCACACATGGGGGGTTTTTAATGTTTACACCAGTTGTATGTATTTAATGTTGTTTGACATTACACAGGATTTTAATTTAGTAGAGTGATACAGCATTGTACCTAAATTATAACACAAGTACAATTTACACTTAGCAGAGTACGGCAATTGCAGCGTACAGTTCAATCATAATACAAGTGTGATTAACTTTGACCAGTCTCCATAATATGCTTTAGAAGGTGTAGTTTTTGAGCATCTTGAATGGCAAGATGGTGTCATGAAGGAGAGAAGCTGCGAAAATTGTCTTTAGAGTTAATGCATGTGCAACTGTTTTGCCTGTTAGGAACACAGAGAAATGGGAGAACTTAGGGAACAAAAATTCTCAAGGCAGTATAAGTTAAAGGAACTGTTGTTAAGCTATGGAGGGACAGATTGGGCATGTCGATCAGTTTTGTTTCTGTTAAAGTGCTGCTGATGCTTTCTTTGCTGGTCAGTTACAAATCTGTAAGATGTGGCATGCAGAGTTTCAGCGTTAAGAAGTTTACAGTTTAAGATGGTAAGAAGGTTACCCGAATGGGGATAAAGGTTAATGTTGTTGGCATGTGCCATCTCTTCCAACAAATTATTTTTATTTGGCTACTAGCTAATAACATTTTTCCAGTAAAGTCTACAGATATTCAATGCATGTCAGTCATCAGAGAGAGAACTATTTAGACTATACAATACACAATAAAAATATAACACACAATAAATTAATAAGGAAAACAGAGTGACTGATCCAAGTAGCTTAGGGGAGTATTTCACAGCCTGATATGAAAAAAAGCCGTCTGACTTGGAAATTTCTTCGTGCTTTGCCTAGACAGGATGCACAAAAGAAAGTGGAATCCCCCTAAAAAGGGAAGAATTACAAAGCTGGAGGGTCTGAATATTTAGCGACATGGATTCTTGAAGGACCTGATTAAAATGAAAGCTCCCTCTGTGTGTGTGTATATATATATACTTTTTTTTTCTTTCTATTAAACAGAATCTACCTGTTCCTTGAGGTGATTCCAGTGAATCATGACCCTAGAGAACCGTGGTCCTTTTTCTAGTTTGAATTATTTTGGGAAGAAGCATGGTATCATGTGAACACATGGAATGAAAGGAACTGTTACGTTCTGCTTTTGGGATGAGAATGTCTCCCTTGTTCATAATCCTTTCTTCTACAGCTATCAGTTGGAGCGCAGTCCCTGAGCAGCCTCTGGATGTCACCTCAGATGGCTTCCGGCAGGGGACAACAAGGAAGGGTATTGGAAGCCATCAGAGCAGGTGTGAGAATGTTGTGATATGTGGATGCGTGTATCTTGTTTCTTAGCATACATGCCTCTGTAGCTCATGTGATGTGTAGTGCATTGTCAGAGCAGAAGGAAATAGAGAGAGTGGGGAAAAAGGGGAAAGGTAGGGAGCAGGGGAAAAGGAAGAGTTACTGCGTAAGGGAGAGAATGGGAGTTGCAATGACAAAAGTTGAATGAGGGTTAACAAGTTTATCCTGTTTCTTCTTTGTCACTGTTGGTTAAAGAGAACGTTGTGGATAATGGTGCTGGAGGACTATGATCAATTTTTATTAAAAGACAGTTTATTTATTGGTGAAGTTAGCAGAATTTTTGCTTTGTATCTTTTGGGTTGATGACCAAAGGAAATGTGTGTATTGCAGGTCCTCTTTTTTACAGATTCATTTTTCTGTAAGTCAGGCCAGCTGACCTGAATGTGTGATTGTTAAAAGTGTTGCTTTGAAATGTGCCTTTCTGCCTTAAAGTTTGAATATGTTATGAAATGCTTGCTGCAGATTCCTAACACAAAACATGTCACCTTTCCAATTGTCGTCTTGACGCCGTGCACTTTAAGAAGCATCATTATCTTCTATCAACTATTAATGTTTAAAGAAGCAGTTACGTATTTTTGTTGTGGTCAAGAGGAATTACTTGTAAATGTCTGCAGACAAATTTCTCCATCTCTTGACACTTTCCTCAGTTTAGGTGATCAAAATTATCATTGGTCTATGGAAGTTCAGCTTGAGGGTTGGGGTCATGTTTTAGTTGTTGGCTGCTTATACTACCACTTTATCAATGGTCATAGTGTTCATTTCCCCAGACTGTCTGGGAGAAAGAAGATAATCCTGGCAGTAGTGAATAAAATGGTAAGTACAGCTTGGACAATTTTTGTGGAGAATTCATTCACATGCCTGCGAGTTGCATATTCTGAGCTTCTCCGAGTTAGGCCTGACTTGACTAAGTTTATCCTGTTATATCCTGCTATTTCCAAATTTTCCCTGGAAAGAAGAGGACCAGGTGTGGCCACTCTTGGTGTCTGGGATGTGTTTAGCACAGGTGATCTGGGTGACTTAGTGTGTCTTTTGAGACAGGCCTTATGTGCACTACAGAATATCAGTTTTTAGTATGTGATGTGTAATGTATTCCAGAAGACGTGTGAAAGATCAAACAGAAGTGACCAACCCCTTTTTCTCAGTAGGTTTAAATTTGCTATTTAGTATTTGTGTATCAATTCAAACTTCACAGCCATCTGCTAGCAGCCGGTTTGCACAAAACTATAGGAACTTTGTTATTATTGAGAGATTCTCCTCTCTTTAATTCACTAAAACATTCAAAAATCATTAGAGAGGGCCTGCAAGACTGTGATTGCAAAGGACTCATTTTCTTCGGAAATCAGGATTAAAAAGAATGTCAAGGAATAAGTAAGCTGTTTACACTTTCATGATAAAAGGTCACAAAAGGAGCTTTCATCGTGAAAATAGGGAATATATAGCCTAGGGGGGTGGGGAGGTGTTTAATAAAAAACAAGTCTTGTATGTCTACCCTGTTTTTTTTCCCCTCAAGGAATCTCAGGGTGATCAGTGGGGCATGTTGTTCGGGGTTCCCCCTGCCTCAGTATGCTAGATAAGACTAAATATGAGGGAAGGTAAAGGTGACTGACAGAAAGGAGTTTGTAGGTACATCTCTGTAGGTAGGTATGTACTTTTGTTAATGCTTAATTAAGTAAAACACCGAAAACTGCAACATGAACCTTTGACACATTAAGGTGAGATGAAATTTTAGAGCATTGCATGTCAATTTTGGGGTTCTTAAAGAACATACTAGCAAAATAGGAAAGTTTTTTTGATTGATAGGTTTTTTTCAATGCTTGGGGAGAATCAGCTTGCACATGTTGGACAACTGAATCAGTCATTGTGAAGACAAGTGTATAAAGAGAATTTAATTAAATAGAGAGATCAGCTGGGGCTTTCAAAAACAAACCATGCTTTATAAACAGCTCTTCTGGTTGCCTTCTCTTTGGGGGAAGTGAAAGGCTTAAAGCTGACAGAGATGTGTATGGTAACTTCAAAAGACCTTTCAGACTTTGACTCACTTTATTTTTTGATGAGCCTCTTTGTATTTAACTGCCCTGCAGCTGTTGCTGAATGTGTCCTCATCACCATTATGAAAAGGACAGCATTGTTCCAGATATTTCTGCTGGTTCTTTTATTTGTTCTGAATAATACAAAGTTTGCCAGTTTGAACAAGCCTTTGGAATCCTTCTGTGCTTGTTTGATCAGTTCTGGGACTAGTCTTTTTGGCTCAACTTTGCTGTAGTTGAGAGCTGATGACAGTGCAGCCTCACATGGATAACTGAAGATATGAAAATGTTCTCTCTGCAAACTTGAGAGTGTCCTAGCTGGGACAATGAGGGCAATGCAGCTCTTTGTCAATATAACATTTAAACGAAAGGATAGGGCAGGTGGACAGCTCAGATGGAGTAGGATAAGTTAAATTGTGGAAAACGTTTTAAGCGATTTGAGAAGTGAACGTGTTTTTTACCAAAACCATTCAGCTGGGATGTACGACTGAGCTGTAAGAGGAAGTACATTTCTAATTTCTTTTTTACATCAGAATTTCTGATTTATTTTTTTTTTCCATCAGATCCAAGATCTGTAAAGTGGAACTCTTCCATACATTTCAAGAGCTGGTGACAAGTATTTCACAAGAGAATCTACCAGACACTCTCCGGTAAAGCCATTTTCATTATATTTAGAAGTGTAAATTTATCTTAATGAAACTCAAGAATACTGTGATGATACCAGAATCTGCTCATGAATCTCACTTTAGATAAGTTCATTGTTAAAATTTGTTACTTGAAAAATACGGCATGTGCTTGATGGGTTAGGAAGACTCTCTTTGATCTTTTTAAATCACGTCCTTGGAGAAATAGCTATTGCATCTCATATATTAATGACAAACAGAAGAAATTGCAGGTGGTTTGTTTGTTTGGAGTTAAAGTAAGAATTTTGGGCAGCTGATCTCTTCTGAAGGCCTGCTACTTTTCAGAAGAGTAATCTCTGTTCCTGATCAGTGAAGTCTTGGGCTTCTGTTGCAGTAGATCTGGTGTCTCTTGGACGCCTCTGTAAGCCTCTTCAACTTGCTATCTTTCCCGAAAATTCTACATTTTGTTTTTTTTTCCTGAGTTAAAGTGGTTTTATCTGAAAGTGGCAGTGGACAGCTAGGGAAGAAGGAGTGGAGAGGGAGATGAGAGGAGGAAGGTAGTACTTTTTTTTGAAAATGTGAGCTGTTTGATCAGCTGCCTGCAGCACTGTACCTTTGGTGGCATTCTTTGAATGCCCAATCCCAGAATTGTTGTGGGGTTACTGATATCTGGTTGGTGTTTAGTAGTTCTAGCAAATGCCATTTCTTTGTTTCACAACAAGGAAGAGTTTCAGTAAAAAAAGTTTTGGGGTTTTTTTTGTGGTACTTTTGGGTTTTGGGGTTTTTTTTGGTTATTGTTTTGTTTTTTAGAAAAGTCTAGGCTAAAATCTTTTTCTCTAAGCGTATGATGAAGTAAGAGCTAATAAGGTGAGACAGTGTGTAGGGCTCTTTCAGCAATGCATATATTACATAGATGGAGACTTTCTGGAAAGAACAGAAAGAAGCTTTTGTTGGAGGAAGCCATACTTGGAGGTTTCTTTTACATTATTACAAATAAGTTTAGTTTATCAGACTGGAGTTTCTTGTGGTAATCATCCGGTCTGGCATTACATTACATGCATTATGTAGTTGGTGATATTCCAGCCCGAATAGCTACCATAGAGCAAGGCATAGTTTCATATACACAGAAACTTACCTCTCACTTGGGCTTTAGAGATTCTGAGACATGTAGAAGGTTCCAAATCCATTGCCTTGGAAGGTTAATTTTATTTTAGACTTATTTCCAGGTATGATTTCACCAGCTCTGGGTTGCAATTCTACCAGCCGTTGAGCTAATTTAACTGCTTGTAGCTGCTGATGGAGATAGTCCTGCAGCAGTCTCTGCTGCTACTTGCTGTAGATTCCTATTTTTTTCCCTTGTATCAGTAGCACTTCTCCAACTTTACAGTGAGACAGTTCAACTAGCTTATGTGGCAGAAAACAATTTCCTTGTCTTCTGTGTTTTCTATTGGACTAAGGAGCGGAATTGGCTCATGGAAAACTAAAACGGATAATAAAACCCATGCAAAGGAAGTAGGAGGTATGTGTGGCTGGAAGCAGGGGAGACAGGACATTTCTGCCTTTCATGGTACCAAGATATTAGATGAGATTAGCTTAGCCGAAGTAAGTGCACCCTGGATATGTAATTATTAGATCTTGCTTGCTTTTGAGTTTTGTGAATTAGAGATTGCAGGTACCTTCTGGTCTGTAGAAGTGTCTCATAACTATTTTAAAGTTCTGATGTCAACATGAGCTATGCTATTGCTGAAATGGTTTCAACTGATTCTATAAGTAGAGGAACACTTTCTCCTTAGTTCAGTTTTAAATATAAAATTATTAGCCTCTTTGAGGTGGAAGTTTGTGCTCACTTGTTTAGCCATCATAATTTCCTCAGAATAGAGTGTGAGCTGGTGCACTGTTGGGCAAGTGACTCATTGTGCTGATCATGTGCTGCTTATGTAAAGTCACTTCACCTCAGGGCTTTTCTAGACTGCAGTGGCTTTGTAATTTCCTTTGACTTTTTTGTGCTCTATCATTTTTCTGTCTGGGCTTCTCCTGACAAATTCCAGCTGATTTGCAGATGTGGCATCATTTTTAGGCAGCACAAACTCTGTTTATACAGTAGAAGTGCTGGCTAACTATTCAGCTTGTCCAGTTGCTTTCCTTTTGAAGTCTTTGTTTTTCCTACTCTTCACTTAAAAAGCAAACTAAAAAAATGTCTTTGTATTGCTGTTTCCTTCTTCTTTCCTTTCTCTTTCTGCACAATATTCTGATGTGTTTTCTTCCTTTCTTCCTTGTAGTGTGAATTTGAGTGGACTTAAGATGAGAAATCCACGCTCCCAAATTGTTTCCTCTAAACTGCTGTGTATTTAACTGTTACCCAGTTTTGTAATTTCTTCCCATCCACATTTATCTTGTTATCTCCTTCTATGAATGGTTGACTCTAGTGCTATGCTGTCACCCACGTTCCTTTTTTCCACTTTGCCCCTAAGTTCCTGCCCTGCCTCTTCTAGTTCACTTTTTGGTCTCTTGCCTCCCATCCTTGCTGCGCCATCAAGGGAATCTCATTCTTCTGTCCTTTGAAATTTTCTAAACAGCTTGTCTTGGTAGTTGTAGGGTATAATAGGACAAGGATCATTCTTTACTTAATTCTTCCTTCATATACTGTTGTCCACTGGCAATCCTAGGATATTGGAGCAGATAAAGCTTTATATGGAACTAGTGTACTGATTCTTATGTTCTTTTGTTTGCTTCTTTCCTATGTTTAAATGTTGCTTCTCCTACTCTTTGTGCCTTCCTTTCTCTTTCATTCTTCACTCCTCTCCAGAGGATCAGTGTGGGCACTGTTAAATTGGAACAGGTAGAGAGCTGACTGGAGGCAGAACTTTGGTGACTCTCCTAAAAGGCAAGTGTAGGAATTTGTAGTGGTGTATCTTAGCTAAGATGCTGAGCATAACATTCAGCAGTTGGTTTTTTTTCAGGATTTAGTTTATTTGCTTTCAGCTGAGACTGTGAGAAGGTGCTGTTTGGCTGGCATTGACTACTTCTTCACCAAGAACCACATAGTGCTGTATTGTGCTGTCCTACTTTCTTTCTTTCTTTCTTTGTGATAATTTCTATGATCTGTCTTCTCTGCTGTACTTAAATTCTCACTCATCTCTCTAGCTAGGCTATCTAAAATGTTATTTATTTCTTTATAACCTCTTACCTCCACATGCCATAGTCTGTTTTACTCCCTCTCACATGTTATTTCATGTTAATGTTTTGAAATTAATGGTATTTTGAAATTAATTTGAAAACTGGTACATAAATCCAGCTTTTTTTTTTCTTTTCGTGTTTTCCATGCTCACAGTCAAAGGAATGATGACCCACCGTAGGCAGTGTTGTACCATCGCTGATCTGAATTGTTATGTAAAAACCCGTGCGGTATTATTGTTGTTTGCAGATGACTTGGTGGTAATATGGCAAAGGAGGTTTTTTGTTGTTTTTTTTTCTCTGCTGGTAGGAAAAACGGTGCCTTGTTCATCACCTGAGGAAGTGAAAGCCTTCTTTTGTCTGCAGTGGCACCCACCACAGATTCACCAGGCATCCTTGTTTGTGCAAGGTGTGGCTACGCAGCCCTTTGTCTGAATCTGAGGTAGACTTTGTAACGTAAACCTGCCCTGAGCTTCTTGCTGGGCTGGTTAAATGGATGACTGATCCTCTTTTCTCTGAAATTGTAGTCAGTGCTTTCTTCCTCCTTCACGTTCAGTCTGCAGTTCCAGTGACGTCTCATTGGAGGGGGTGGGCTATTGCACAAAGGAGTGCAAGGACTTTCAGATGGCTGTAAGATTTAAATATTTAAGGTAAAGCATAGAATCTTTGCTTGGGCTTTGTGTTCAAGATATTTTGCCAGTGTTCGTTTGTGGGGAAAAAAAAAAAAAAAGATTCTACCAGGTGACCGCAAAATATTTCCTGATGGAATGACTGGGCGATGGTAGGGAAGTGTCAGCCTCATGAAAGTCACGGAGGGGTGCAGTTCCACTGTTACTGCTGTTCTCCAATTAAAAAAAGCCAAACACAACATGTTTGGCAAGAATTTTGTTGCAATTTTCTAGTTCCTTTTAAATTTTCTTTTTAAAGTTTCTACATTAAATTATTGCGATGGTCCTACTACTGCATAGAGGCCTGCGGGACAGCTGGGTCCTCTGATCTGAGAAAAATCTCTTCTGTACTCCACGTCGTAGATGCCTGTTAGGTCTTTGCCAGATTGAAGAGCCTTTTCTTAAGTAGCATTTTCTGCCCCATGAAAACACTTATCCATCATAATTATCTCAAGACTTTATTTTTTTCGTAATTACTCTGTTGAGCTTCTACATCTCTTTCTGTGTGTGATTCATTTTTTTCCACATCTCAGATGACATTTGAAAAAGCCACAAAGCTCATTTTCTAATTTTTCAATAATGTTTTGAAAATCTGGTCTCCCAAGCTAGGCACAGCAATGCAGTAACAATCTTCCAAATGCTGCAAACCTTACCTTGCTGTTAAAACTTGTTGTATTTGAGTGGAACTCACTCATTGAGTTAGCTCGCTCTGTGGCTTTGTTCTGTATCTTCTTAACAGTTGGTGTCAATTACAAAGTTTACCTGCAATGACTGCATTTTGTCTGAAGCATTGAAGAAGATACTGATAGAATCAGGCCGACTATGGTTTCCTGACCCCCTATCATGCATTATGGATTCACAACAGGTTTTTATATATTGAAGATCTGTGAGCTTTTGCCCTCTTAGATGTGGCTCATTAATTTTTGTACAAGAGTAGTGTTTTGTTTGATGACTTGTGCTTATGTCAACATTTTTCATGTGCAGTATGTCTGTAATCTCGAAAGTGCATTATGGGTTGAATGTAAATGTTTGAATATGGGGTTAAAGGTAGGGTTTGTTGCTGAGAATAAAGTATTGCAGCAGTGTTACTGCTTTTCTTTGCAGGTTGCCTTGCTCGTGAGCCCATTTCTACTCAGCTTTGCATGTGGCTAAGCACATGAATGTTTTCAACCATAATGGTCATTTGTGTAAGGCTTTTTTCAAGAGTGTAATACCATTCAGAATGAAATCTGTGAATCACCTCTTATGTCCCTGGTACACAGGCATCAGAATCACACTCTGTCTCTTTCTCAGTAGTGTACCGGTGAGATTGAAATAGTAAAGGGGAGTGTAAAAGGAATGTAGTCAGGCAGATCTGAATAGGCTGAGGAACAGATGATTGTGATAGGCTTTGCCTGGAGCAGAAAACTAGTGTTTGTTTCTGCCAAAAAAAGTCACAGGTTCTTCATTACTAGTGCTCAGAGCCTTAATGGCCCAACCAAAGCTGAGATAGTCGAATCATGTGAGGTTTTTAGGCAGATGTATTTTGAATTTGAAAGCATTTTCCCATATACATGTTGAAAATTTCTTAGAAGCTTAATGCAGAAGTTGAGCATGAATTGAATAAAATCTATTTGATTTTGTCAGCTCTCTGAGGAAGCTGTTTAAAATGCAGCTTTCTATTGCATCCACTGTTAAACTGTGTAGTGATGTTGTCTGCTGGGAGAATGAGACCCCAAGAGGCTGCAGTTACATGTGCCCATGTAGCTGTCAGTGGACTGAAAATATTGAACTTCTCTGTACCGTCTATCCTGCTCTCATGTGAGCTATGTTTTCCTTAACAGTTTCCAAACAAAGGTCTGTTGGAATAATCTAGGTTAGAAAAATTCCATGTGTGTTTTAGTTAAATTGAATCAGACTGCCGGATATGAGTTGAAGAGCCTATGATTTGCCAGTGGATTCAGGAAAAAGAGCAACATTTAGCAAGGAAGAAATGAAGAACAGCTAAGCATTGGAGTCTTTCTCTTGGCTTAGTGGCAGGTGAAATATATTTATCTATCTATGTCTGGATCAATATCTATATATGTGCATCCACAGCAAATGCAAGGAAAACAGCTGTTTCACCCTTCACAAAATCAAGCCAGTCCAAAAATGTGTTGTATAATTCTTTTTTGATATTTGACTGTCGTAAATGTGACCTCAAAAGTACAAATAGCTATGTTTGGAAGATGTAAACAGTATCTGATATTAGCTATTCTATGATAAAGGACAAATATAAGTCATTAGATGGATTTATAGTGAAGAACGGCAGGGTCAAAGTCTGAAACAAATACATCGGACGTACTTTTAAGTGCAAGAAGCTTGCTAGTATAAGAGAGTTTCTTTCCAAAGAATGATTCAGTCATTATCCTTGAGCGTAGGCATGCATATTGCTCACCAGGAAGTGGTTTTGAGGTGGAGGAGAAGGTGCACGTGGTTTGTACTGTGTGTGAGGTACATGTTGGAGTACCTGGAGAGGAACAACTTGGAGATGATTGTTGTGGGTTAACCTTGGCCCTCCTTGGACCTGTGTTGTTTCCTGAATGCTGCTTATGCAGATAGTTGCTGGTCTTTTGCCTGTTTGGTGAGGCTCCTAAACCATGATTCCTCGTTGACAATGGGGTTCTGTGACTGTTCCACTGGCCAGGTGGGGAAGAGTTGCAGTGGACCCTTCCATGGAACTTTCTAGAGCAGCTTGGAGGTTAGTTTTACAGAGTTTGATTAATGTGAAAGAGGTAAAGAAAGCAAAATGGATTAGCTGTGACAAGAGTGCAGGCAAATTTGTAAGAGAGCATACATCTCCCATGTTCAGCAATGGCATAGACAGGTTCCCTACTCTTGTACTTTCTGAACCAAACATCTGCAAGATAGATAATATCTCATGGCTTGCTATGCATGTCACAGTGTTCTAGAAGAACGCTTATAGCAGAGTGCTGAATGCCTGAAATGCAGTTTCTGATGGTCTGCTGTTAAGTTTTTTTGGGTTTGTTAGGGTTTGGGGTTTTTTTTGGGGTGGTGGTGGTGATCAAGATGCCTTTGAGCATGAAAGCCTGTTCTGGAAGTTAGTGCAGTGGTTCTCTGAATTTTTTAGATTAAGGTTTCTATAGTAGTTTGGCTCTTCACAAAGGTCCTGTGGCAAATGATCTTTCCTTCATATTGGGTTGAATGTATAAATGTTACGTGCCACATGTGGCTGACAGACTGTTTGGCAGAGGTGAGAGACTGGGAAAGGAATGCAAGGAGAGGGAAAAAAAAGTCTTGATGAAATTGTTCTAGAGGCACTTGTGTTCAGATACTCTAGACCTGAATTTCCCTGTTTTGAAAATTAATGGTATAATGTACTCAGCGGAGTGACCAGTGGTTCTGCTGAGATTGTGGGGAGCAGGCTGTACCTGAGGAAGGGAAATAGAGAGCCTTGCTGAGGCTCTTTTGCTTTAGGGAGAAGGTAAAAAAAGTACTTTCACCTTTGTGTCACTCTTCTCCATTATTTTGCGTTGGAAAAGAAAAACTGTCCTGTTCGTCCTTGTCCCCTTCCCTTCCAGCCAGCGATTGTATCCATTCTTATAGCAAAACAAGGCTACTTCCACCCAAATCAAATCGTCTATCTCTAGCCATGTTTCCTGCTTTGCTTCAACTTTTTTTGCTAGCAGGGAATTTTTCTGTAATCTGTTGACACACAGTCAAACACTAACACTTGTATTGCTGGCCAGTGTGTTTGAAGCACAGTAGAGGAGTAATTTAGCTGCCTTTTGTAAGGCTGCTGACAATGTCTGACACTAGCTTCAGGGCCTGGGCGTCTCCAAGTCTCACTGGAAGCACAAGAGAATTTCACTCAGTAGCATGAAAGAGCTCATAGGGCATCATCATGTTTTTAGATGTTTGATTGTTTTTTTCATTTTATGACATTACATCTGATAGGATAATAGAAATGTTTTCATTGTTGTGCGTTTTCTGTCAGGATGAAGACTCTAGAAACCTACTGGGACTACAAGGAAGCTGCATTAAATTATCAAGAAGCCTGGAAAGTGCTGCGTAGCCAAGCTCTGCTGGGTTGGGTCAAGAATACCAAGGAATATCTGCACTTCACATGAGAATACATGCGGCTATGTAAATCCAGCAATAAGTCCTGGTGCACAGCAGATACCTCTGCAGTTTGACGGCTAGAAGTAGATGTCCTCTAGTTCATGTGCTGTAAGGAGACAGGAGTGAAAAGAAAAGCAATTTAGAGAAGTCTTTTTTTTGGTTGAGTTGAAGCCCTCTTTTTATTGAAATATAGAAAAGGATCATTGCAGACTTAAGTTCTGAGCTGCCTGGAACAATATGCCTCCAAAAGAAAGGAAGAGCAGTGATATGCATCCTCTGTTATCAGAGGACATGATCTATCAGCCAGAGTTCATTGCAATGAAAATAAAGTCAACTGAAATTGGAGCTGCGCTATGGAAGAAAGGCTGTCATTGTAAAATTGTAGTGCTGCTTTTCAGTTCCACTGTTCATAACGTTATGGTTGTTTATGTGTTGCTAGGACAACCCTAATGTATAGTAAGTAATATTTTTATAACTCTTGGCCCTCCTTGTCTGATGCCTGGAATAATTTTCCATGTCCCTCAGCTCCATTGATTCTAACTGGAAATACTAGTCCTGTTAAAGGGTCTTTTTTCTGGCAGTCCTTCATATAAGCTTCTATTTACTAGATATAGCCAAAGCAGAAGCAAGAGAGTGCTGGGGAGAAGGCTGTATATACCGTGCATCTCCGAATTTCAGGACTTTGCTAGATAGCCCTTCAACTGCTTTGCTTTTGTGGACAGGAAGGAAGCCTCCTGAATTACCTGTTTCAAACCTGTCAATCCTGTGTAATTCCAGGCAAATATTTACCTATTTATCAGTGTTTGAAGCACTGTCCATCTCCCTGTCCCCCGTGATACATAGTTAATTAAAAGCAAGGATGCCTTAGCCATTTATGTTGCTGTTTCCTGTCAAGAGTTGATTAATAGCCTGGCAAAGGTGGAGATGCTTTAGGGGGGACTGGAAGTAGTCTCTGGCAGTCTTTGCCTTTATGCTTTGTTTCCAAATAACATCTGCATGGCAAAACAGTCAACATTGTGAGCTGAGGGATGCAGTGGGTAATCCTCCTTAAACTTTCTGTCCCAATTATTGCCTTCTGCGAGCAAGTCCAGAACTATGTGACTGCTGCTGAGCACGCTCCCTTTTTGTACTTTTTCTGTTGTAAATTACAATTCATAAAATGTTTGGACAAGGCAATGGCAGGGTGGAAGAAGTGGATAATGCAGAACTTCAAAGTTCTTTAGTGGTTTGAGTTTTCTGTTCTTTGGTATCTTACTATAGTTTTGGATTTGAAAAATGGGCACAGCAATCTTCCGAACAGGCTTTACAGTCAATCTACTGAGCTACATACAGGACTGAACAGTACATATCACATTACAGTCTGAGAATTGATTACAGCAAATCCTTTTACTTCACACTTGGGTTGACTTGTCAAATAAGAATAGTTCTCTCTTACTTGTTGAAGAAATAACAAAGCACTTGAATTCTGTGTCTCTAAGGCTGTTGTCTCAAATCCAGCACTGACATGCAGAAAGACCAGTTGTATTGGTGAGGGGGGGAGTCATTGTATGTGTTTGTAGGGCGCAGGGGATTATGGAGAACGGTGGCTTGCATTAGTCATCAAAGAATGAAAAATGGCCAGGTGCCATTGCAGATGGGCTACAGGGTGAACTGCTGAAGAGAAATGGTAGAAGGTATTGTAATTGAGCAAATAGCATTCCAAGGACAGAGTCCTGTAGACTACCTAAAGAGATAACCAATACATTTCCAGGCTCCTGAAATTCATCTTTGTTCTTCCCTGAAATCTTGCAGAAACTATACCTTAACGTACCTAGTTTCCCTTTGTTAATCAACAAGTAGTGAACCTGCTGACCAGACTGGAATGTTACCATTTCCTATCCAGCTGCAATATTAAAATGGGTTGCATAAGGCTAGTTCTTCTATAGTCTGCGCATCAGACTAGTTTTCAGATGAGCAGTTATATGATGTAATTTCTTTTAACTCTTTCCTAAAATTTCAGCCTGGCTGTTAGAAGAGATTGTTCCTGATAAGATTTTTTGTATGCATTTGTAAAATACTTGTGGAGTGTAGACTGCTGCTTTCTGCTACTTGTCAGACTGGAGTGCTTACTGATTCTCAGTATGTTCAGAGTAGATTGAAGACTATTCAAATTACTGTCTTTGTAGAAAAACAAGCCATGAGCCCAAAACAAGGTGTAGCTTTTCACTAGGAGTTGAATCAGCTTTGCAGTAAGCCCAGTAAGCATTCAAGGGAAGGAAGAGCCAGGGCTGCACTGCTGAGGGCAGAAGGAGGTGGAGCCTTCCAGGCTTCCTTTCACTTGTTACAAACTATTAGCTGGTTGTGAAAGCCCATCTGGAGAAGATGCTTGAGGCTTGAGTATGGAAACGAAGAGTGAGTTACTTCTGGAAAGCTACTGTTGGTAAGGAGGAAAGAAACGTGTTGGGGAAAATTAGGAGCCAAATGTAGTTGAGGGGCCTAGCAGTTCTTTCTCTCAAAGCAGAACCATCCTAACAGTCTGATAATGCCATTTTAAGAGGGTTGCAGCAGTGGTTTACAGGTGGAAGCAAGATAATTTGTGAGCAAAGACCATCCAAATTTATCTAGTATTGGTTTGGTTATATCAGAGATGACATTTCAAGTTATCTTTAAGATAGGTGATGTAGAAGTTTTGCTGTAGGTATAGTGAGGTATTTCATTGTTTTCAGTATATAAATTGAAATATCTTCCCAGTCCTGAAGGGTTAACAGAAAGTGAAGATCATACGGGGTCCAAATGCTTTTAATAATTTTTAAAGAGTGACTGTACTATCTAGAAGGATGCATTTCATCTATGCATTTCAAAAGGAAATCTCTTCATGTTTTATTTCCATTTTAAGTGCATCTGCAGATGAAAAGTAAAGTTACTGCTGTAGAACGTTTATCCTTGCATTCCCTGGAATTATTTGTGTACCTGGGCTCCTAAATCTAAACTAGTAATTACAGAGACATTAAAGAGAGTAATTATATGGGGTTTTTAGAGGCTTATGAAGGGTATTCCAAAAGTCACCTTAATCGTAACATTGGGAATAAAACTTCATCTTCCCTTGTTTTATATCTATGTGCTAGCATGTAATTAGCTTTATCTATGAGTTTTAAGTTATGTTTCTTACTTGCTTGTTAACAGCTAACAAAAAATATTACTTGATAACCATAGGCAAATTGCGAAGTTTCAGCTTAAAGGAAACACAACATTTTCCGGTAATAAAAAAATCACAGAATCACAGAATGGTTTGGGTTGGAAGGGACCTTAGAGATCATCTAGTTCCAACTTTTCTTCATTCTGAATCAAAAATTCTGTTAAGAATAAACATTAACACTAAATGCCTGGAAAGGGAGTGGGTGGAAGGAATTTAGGATGGAACCAGTGATGGAATGTTTACTAAAGCAGTGCTATACATTGCAGTGCTATTCTGAATAATGAAAGGCTTACTGACATCAACAGCATATTTTCAGATGCAGTAAGCATATGCAGCACTGTCACTGTGACAAGCCTCAATAATAGCGTCACCATTTCACAGGCTCCTGCCTTCACTTTGGAGTCCTTCTACCAGTAGCTGGGAATAACTGTAGAGCCAAACGTAATTCTAGGCATAATGTGACTTCATGGGAGTAGAGATAGTTTGAATTTGATTTAAGCTTGGAAAGTGATAAATTTCCACTGTGACATTTAAAAAATTAAACACTTCCACACCATGTAGCGTGCAAATGAAGTAAAACTTTTATTAGGCATTTCCTTGCTGGCTTACAAAGTTCAAAGCACTGCTACTTTTCCAACCCAGTGTCATCCTGATATCAAAGCATGAGCTCCAGTATTGTGCAATTAGGTCAATAAGGTGTTTTTTCCGCATCCCCCACCCCTCACTGTTCAGAGCCACAAGTTTGCCTCTTTGCCTGTAAGCAGAGGTAGTGGTGTTAACTGTAGTAAGCTCATTTGGAGAGAAGTTGAGAGCCTCATGAATAACAACTTCTTTTGGTTTTGTGGTCAAGTCTCTACTTTTGCTGTGCCGCATACATGCCTTGGCAATAGTGCTCATAAACTGGAGGAACTGATGTGGATCACTTTATTTTACATGCAGCATTTCTAATTCTAATTGCCTGCCTCAACTAAGTAGAATCATAGAACGGTTTCGGTTGGAAGTGACCTTTAAAGGTAATCAACGCCCCTGAAATAAGCAGGGACATTTTCAACTAGATCAGGTTGCTCAAAGCCCTGCCCGGCCTGACCTTGAATGTTCCCAGGGATGGGGCATCTACAACCTGTCTGGGTAACCTGTTCAGTGTTTCACCACCCTCATCATAAAAAAAAAAATAATTCTTCCTTGTATCTAGTCTGAATCTACTCTTTTAGTTTTAAAACATTAAAAAGGCTGTACCCATCTTTCTTATAATCCCTCTTTAAAGTATTGAAAGGTGCAATAAGGTCTTCCTGGAGCCTTCTCTTTTCCAGGCTAAACCCCATCTCTCTCAGCCTTTCCTCATAAGAGAGGTGTTCCAGCCCTCTGATCATTTTTGTGGCCCTCCTCTGGACCCGCTCCAACAGGTCTGTGTCTTTCCTGTACTGAGGACTCTAGAGCTGGACGCAGTACTCCAGGTGGGGCCTCATGAGAGCGGAGGGGCAGAATAGCCTACCTCGACCTGTTGGCCACGCTTCTTTGGATGCAGCCCAGCATACAGTTGGCTTTCTGGGCTGTGAGCACACATTGCCAGCTCATGTCCAACTTTTCATCCACCGATACCCCCAAATCCTTCTCTTCAGAGGACTGCTCTCAGTCCCTTCATCCCCCAGCCTGTATTGACAACTGGGGGTTGCCCTGACCCACATGCAGGACCTTGCACTTGGCCTTGTTGAACCTCATGAGGTTCACATGGGCCCACCTCTCAGGCTTGTCTGTGTCCCTCTGAATGGCATCCTGTCCCTCAGGTGTGTCATCCACACCACTCAGCTGTACAGTAAAGCTGTTCCTTCACATACTTAGTTCTGTAATGTCATTACAGTATCTACAGAATTTTTACTTGAAAGGACATACATATTTATACAACTACGGCCTTTTTTTTTTTACCCAGAGCTGCTCATGCAACTGTTTTAATCTGAACTCCGTACCAACTAT